TTATTCTATTCTATTCTTGCAACTGAGCTGGATAATTCTGCCTCTTGACTGGGTGTGAGAGGTTTCTCTTTTCAAATCTCATGTTCCGGTGACTCAAAATTTGCTCCTTACTCAGTAATAGTAGGAAGAGGGACAGAATCTGCCACAGTCCTTTGATGGCTTTCGTTTTATTTTGGAACACATTACAGACACACTCCTACTAAAGACTTTTTTTTCCTAGCACCAAAGGCAAATGCTAACTGTCTTTCAAACGTATTCCCCCTTCTTTTCCAAAACTGGTTTTGGTGCCATTCAATATATCAGGGGGATCAAACTTGATTTCATTGAGGGCCGCATCAGGGTTGTGTTTGACCTCAGGGGGGCCAGGGTGGACGTGGCTGGAGTGCATGTGACCAGCTTGACGTCACTCGTGTTGGGGGCGCCTGTGGTGGCCCAAGCGCACTGCCAGCGAAAACGGGCGTGTTCCCTTCTTTGGATTGTTCAAATCCATTTTTGTCCTAAATAAAATATGAGGAATTAATTTTTACTTAATAGAGAATTAAATGAAAATTCAAAGTCATGTTTATTATTTTTGTGGTTCCAGCTTATGGAAAGTTGGCATATGTTTTCATAACGTAGCTTTAATTATTTTAAAAGCCTTTTCTACCTCTGTGCCTCTGTTTACATCTTTATATCAGAGTGCCATCAATTTGTTTTCCAATCTTAGCAGCCACATAGATTCTTCTCCATGACGATGATCTCTCCCTAACCTGTTCTTTTAAGCCTCCCAAAGGTGCATTCATTATTGCTGTAACCGAGTCCATCCACCTTGCTGCTGGTTGCCCTTTCCTTCTCTTTCATCAAGTAGCAGTCCTAAATTGTTTGGTCTTGGGAACATTTCCAAATGGGTGGGTTCATATATTGTACCAGGGGTGGGCTGCTAGGGGTTTGGGAGAACATCTAGCTAAGATTATGTGCAGTTCGGAGAACCCCCAAATCCCACTCCTGACTGGCCCCACACACCCCTCCCCTCCCCTTCCAGGTGTCCCCATGAGGCCTGTTTTGGATGCAAGTGCAGGGCGTGCATGGAGGCTTGGGGAAGGCAAAAAACAGGCCTACAAGAAATTCAGGAAGGCTGGAAATGGGCCCATTTCCAGCCTCCAGAGGGCCTCCGGAGCCTGGGGAGGCCATTTTCACCCTCCCAGAGACTCAAGGAAAGCCTCCGGAGCCCAGGGAGGGCAAAAGCCCCCCCCCCACCATAGTGCAGGAGGCTGACTAGGCTACACCCACCATGGCCATGCCCACCCAGCAACTGGACAGAGAACCCCTTGCTAAAATTTTTGAAGCCCATCCCTGTCTACAGCCCTCTCTAAGCAGTTTACAAAGTCAGCATATTGTCCTCATTTTACCCACTTCGGAAGGATGGAAGGCTGAGTCAACCTTGAGCCTGGTGAGATTTGAACTGCCAAATTGCAGGCAGTTGGCAGTCAACAGAAGTAGACTGCAGTGCTGCACTCTAACTACTGAGCCACCATGGCTCATGATGATAATTTAGAAGTATAATTTACTAGGACACCCTCCAGTTTGAAAACAATGGATGTAAAAGTTGTGGGTGTATAGATAGGCTTTTCTCAAACCTTTGCAAAGAAAAACCATTCAACTTTCACCATTGAATGAGGTAGTCCTTGGAAATGAAGCTGCATCTTTGCAATGCAGCCCGTGTATAGTCATTTTCAGATGTTCGAGCGAAGGTGTTACTTATTAGCTTGTGTCATTTTCAGATGGTTCAGGAGACAAGAGTTTTCAGAAACTATTTTAAAAAGATCTCCTTCTTAAGTGCTAGTGCTAGTGCTATTTCTGTTCATGGGCACTGAAACCATAGAACTGAAGAATACTTGAGTTTACAAGACTAACATATAAAAACTGATGTAAGAAGTTCTTCAAAGAAAAGTATTGGATGTAATAGCTACTCAGAGCTGGTTGAAAAAACTTCTTTTTTTTAATAAAAAAGAAACAGTTATTTTTAAATATTGTGCTTGACTTTCTTCCCAAGATGATGATTTTTTTAGATTTCAAAGAAAATTACACTTAGCAGAAATCCTCTTGTTCCCAAGTAGAAAAGACTATACCGGTGATGAAGGCATCGGTTCATGTGTTACAGACTTACCCGGAAGCTGACAAGGAATGAAGAAAATATCCTTTCATTTTGTAAGTGGTTTTATAGTAGAGAGTTTTAAATATGTAAAAAAATGAGTCTTTTTCTAGCCTGAGAAGCAGAAAAGCCAAAATAGGCTGACATAAGGGACGGGTTGGCTCAGTGGCTAAGATGCTGAGCTTGTTGATCGAAGGGTCGGCAGTTCAGCGGTTTGAATCCCTAGTGCCGCATAATGGGGTGAGTGCCCATTACTTGTCCCAGCTTCTGCCAACCTAGCAGTTCAAAAGCACGTAAAAAGCAAGTAGAAAAATAGGGCCACCTTTGGTGGGAAGGTAACAGCATTCCGTGCACCTTTGGTGTTTAGTCATGCCGGCCACATGATCCCTAAGATGTCTTTGGACAGCGCTGGCTCTTTGGCTTTGAAATGGAGATGAGCACCGCCCCCTAGAGACTAGCACATATGTGCGAGGGGAACCTTTACCTTTACCTTAAGGTAAGCAGTGAATAGAGATGGATTGGCTGGACACTTTTCAAAAACGAGAGCTTGTACAAAAGAGTATGTATGAAGAATGAGAAAAATGTTATGATTCCTGTGCACAGGATGTTCCCCCCGTCTCTCCCTCTCCCTCCCTCCCGCTCTCTCTCTTTGATAACATGAACTGGATTCTAGTATCCAGTCCTTTTCAGGAAGACTGAATTCAAGAAAAATATTCCAAATGGTGGGATCTTTCTCGGAATAAGATTTACACTTAAATCTCTACAAAAAGTAAATTATACATAGTATTACTTGTGCACTAGTCATCCCACATATCTCATTATAAATTGTTCTAAAATAGCTGTCCCTTATCCAGTACTGTAGATAGCTGGAATTCCAGAGCCAATTGTGTTGCTTGCAGATTTCCAGGATTAATAGTTATAACACCTCTGGTAATGCCTAATTGGGCTAAGGTGCGATAAACATGCAACATATATAGCTCAATGTAGGTGAATGGTGTGGTGTGGTGGCCTAGAGGTGGAGCTCTCGCTTCACAATCAGGTGGCTGTGAGTTTGATCCTAAGAAGAGGCAGATATTTGTCTCTCTGGGCACACTGAGAATATATATGCTGAAAAAAATTCCACATTGGCGACAGGAAGGGCATCCGGCCAGTAAACACTCAGCTCCATTCAGTTGCCTAGGCTCCACCCCGCAAGGGATTATGGGGTTGTTAAAAGGGGATGGTTAGAAGAGGATGTACAGCTCAATGTAGGGATGTTGTATGGATTATCTAGAGTTCAAAACTGGGAAGATAAGAAACTGAAGCAGGCAAATGGTCATTTTCAGAGCTCAGACAAGCTCTCCCCTACATGTAGTAAAGTAGGACTCACTGATGTAGACGACAATCTACACTGAATTTCAATGCCTCGGTTTAAGAATGCGTTTAAATAAGTATATTTGTCCCTGCATCAGATTCAGATTTTATTCAAGTTACACCATTTTCTTCAGCATATTTAAGGTTAGGATTACAAAATAGATTCTTAGACTTGGTGACTTGAATGACTTCTTCCAGTTCTATGACTCTTTATTATTTTAGCCATTTTTGCAATATCCATTGTGTTTATTTTCACAACATAAGAAGTGGCACTCACTGATTTGTCACATCATACTAAGGCAGGAATGTACAACTTTCTTAAATCAGATGCTGCATTTTTTAAAAAAGAAGCTGTTGGAGATCTCAGGTGATGGCACCTGAATGGGTGGGGTCAATTTAACTATACTGGAGAGCTTTGGGGTGCAATGTCTTCAAACTCAACAAAGCTTAAGGCACCCAGTTTTGTCATTAACTCAGTCACATTTTACCAAAATGGTTAGTTTTGCTTGCTTTGGAAATCATCTTAGGTCTGTAGAAGGGATAGGAACAAAGCATATGTAGGCCAACTTTATATACTGTTGTTTTGTTTAACCATTATACAATACTTCCTAAGCCTTGCATTGGTTGGTTTCTCACATAAAACTATGGTTTCCCACATAAAACCATGGTTTCTAAATGGCAGAAACAAACTATATTAAGCCACAATCATGAGGAGCCATGGTGGTGCAGTGGTTAGAATGCAGTACTGCAGGGTAACTCACTGCTCACTCCAGGAGTTCGATTCTGAGCTGCTCAAGGTTGACTCAGCAGTCTATACTTCTGAAATCAGTAAAATGAGGACCCAGATTGTTGGGGGAAATATGTTGACTCTGTGAACTGCTTTAGAGAGGGCTGTAAAGCACTATGAAGCAGTATAATAAGTCTAAGTGCTATTACTACTGCTATCGTGTTACATGCTAAAATAGTGAATTTATCAAAATGTAGCTGCTATCCAATTAGAAGAAAATATGCCCTTCTAGAGTTTATATGAAATTACTATACTACAAAATCTGCCCTTTGTGGTCTCTCTTCATTTCTAAGCAGTTTATATGAAATTACTATGCTACAAAATCTGCCCTTTGTGGTCTCTCTTCATTTCTAAGCAGTGCCGTTTACTTTTATTCAACAAAACTGTGTTTTTATGTCTGTGTGGAAAAGAAATAGAAGTACACCACTGAATTAAAAGAGGACTTTCACCTTCCTACATTTAGGAGTTTTAATATTTCAAAAACATTTTATTTTTAGAAAGGAGTTAGATTTCAGACACTAAAAAGGCAAGGGCAGGAGAGCGATCATCACATTCTCTGCATAGTAACTGAGGTTTTACAAAATGTGTGTGTTTTCATAAAAAAATATAATAGCAAAAGAAATCCATATTCAGACGTGTTTAAACTTCACATGACAGCAGAGCCCATTCCAAGATTCCTCTCTGATGGGCATTTTCAAAAGCAAAACGAATAAGGAATGACAAAGCCAACACAGGAAGTTTGTTTAATGCTTTCTTCAGTTCATGAATTATTTGCAGAGGTCAGCCAGGCTCCGATCCTTAGATGGGGTCTGGTTTCCTGCCTCTGGGTCAAAGACTACATCATGCATGAATAAAGGAAGTGATGATTTTACAAAAGGGAACCAGCAGCCATTTCTTTCTTTCAAAAATTTGCCCTTAATAAAGAAGAAAAGCAAGACTAAGCATGGTGTTCATTTAAATTAGTATTCGTCATCATTATTGCTACACCAAAATCAGGAAAGAAATCTGCCATTTTTAACTGACCTAAACCTTGACTTTTTAAAAAATGTAGATATTTGGAAAATGGTCATTTTTTACACATTAGTATCTATACATGTACACAGTCATACATGCACAGGTTGGTTTTAGCTCCCACAGTAAAAGTTTCAGAAGTTGATATGTCCTCCATTTGTTAAAAAGCTGTTTCTCCATGATGGCAGACTTTAATCAAGTATCTTATAGAAAAGGTATTGGCATGAAAAAGCAGTACCCTTGTTCCTTATTGGCAAAAAAGGCTTATCTCCAAATTTAATTACACAGCAATAATAACACAAGTGGGATTTCCTTGGAAAGGAGGATTATCCCCTTTAAAAGAATTGCTCCATCTTTTACCAAATATGCCCACCCAACCCCAGAACATACAACATGAAGACACAAATGCTAACAAACAAAATGCTCTACTTTTTTTTTTTAACCACGGTATTATACATGAGGAAATGGAACAAAGATTTTATGAAGTTAATTTTGGAGCCGGATCATCCGGCCCCCACTTTCTCAGACTGTAGGTAGGAGTTGCTAGAAATAACTGACTTCCCAACCAATCCTAAATGTAGAGAACTACAGTAGACACCAGAAGTTTTAACCAAACCGCCTCGTAATACATAGCTAGTGTTTCAGATCGAACAATTTTGTTTTAACAAAGGAAAATGGTAACTAGGATGTATGTCAGCACATTGCAATTCTGAAAAAAATGGCTAACATCAGAAAGTCATTCTGGTCCCAGCGATGGAAGGAAGTACAAAGCAAGATGTGTTCTGTTTGGCAGGAGAAGGAAAGAAATCGAAAAGTTTAGAGATGTGGAAAGGCACACTCCGTTCCTGATTAAACTGCTTTCTCATTTGATGAGAGATTGTACAAGAATGCCCCATCGATCAATCAGAGATTTCAAAAAGGAGCAGGGAAAAAAAGTTAAATTGAATTTTGCAAGTACAAATAGAGAAAAACAGGCAAGGCATATTACAAACAAAGGCAAGAAAGAGTTTTGATCGTTTGACACAGCATCATACCCTGGTCATATTAAAGAAAGGAAATTGTACCCTGTTCTCAACACAATGCAAATAGGAGTTTTGTTCTGCAGGAGAGAGGCATTTTGGCATGTAACTAAGAGAACAGTCATGGGCCCCTCCCATTGCTCTACCCATGAGAAGCCATTGCTAAAGTTTATACCTATTGCTGCAGTCATTGACTATTTTGAGGTCCTGAGGTACGCGCACACCTTGGCATAAGAAACAGATTTGGCTCAATTGTCTAGAAAGGATATTGACATCCTCAGTGACAGAAAAAAACTTGAATTTGAACTATTTGGGGAAAGAGCTTGTGCAAACCATAGGAACTATACCTTGTCTCAGATCCCTTTTCCTAAAAAGAGCAGTTTTGAAACTGAGTTAAGAGGAAGCACGTGAAACCTGGTCACCAATTCAAATCATTTTTGGTGCTTTCTCAGTTACGCTCCCTAGTTCTCTGATGAAAATAACCTCTTGGAAAACAAAAGAAGCTTTGGGAATATTAACTGAAGCACTGATAAGAGGTTCTATGTTCTAAATACATAATTGTGAGAATGACACACTTCTCTGCATAAGGCAGAGGTGTGAGATCTCAACTTTGGACCTTTCTAAGCAAACACTACCAACAACAACCCCTCCCCACCCACCACAACACACGATATCATTCTAACATACAAGATGACTTCAACAAGAATGGAAGAAGAAACAAGCCAGGTATCTACTTTAGACTAGAGCAAACAACATCTAAACTTTTGGAAGAAATTTCTTTGTTCTGACATAAATTGATCATGAAGGATAGTTCATCATGGAATAAAAAAAGTTTTTGCTATTGGAGGGTTGTTGTTGATTGTTTTTGGCACATCAGAGAACATCAAAAACAGAGATATGGAAAAATAAGATCAAGTGATGACAGGCTGACAATATTTTCCAGCTAAATACAATTGCAACAAACATTCTTATTTTTGAGGGGGGGAAACATGCACTTAAGCTGACATCCAAAGTCACCAAGCAACACTCGCTTGGCTGACTCAAGGATTATATACAAAAGAGGACTATCTTACAATTGGTAAGAAATTCTCCCAGTAAGACAAAGCTGGTGCACAGCAAAACAGTTTTTTGTACCACACTGGCAACAAAATTGTTGCAACAAAAGGCAGATATGTTTACATATGGCTTGGATTGCTATTAGTCCTTGGATTTAATTCTTCGCAGAGATCTTCACTGGATTTAGCTAGACATATCAGTAAAGATTGCTGAACTGGCTTTATTTGCATTTTTCTCACTTAAGGTTGTATGCATTGCCAGCTAGGTTTCCAAAGACTGCCCCCAAAGCCACCTCCAATTCTGTTCTCCATAGGGAAGGAGCTGTTTCTTGGACTGTAGGCTTGGGATCTCAGCTGTCAAAACACTCAATCTAGAGAATGAGATCAGCAGTACAAAATATATGACTCACACGTTTCGTGAAGGATAAAACTATCTGTCCAGTATAGTTTAGTGATAACCAATATAAATATTGCTTACATAAAGTTGCTACTTATCTGGTTCTGCCAGTGTGGACAGCTAAGTGTGAATATAACTATGTCTGCTTCAAAAGAAACTAGAGGGACTTCCATCAATACTTTTTTTCTATAAATCTAGGTTTGTTGTTACAGCATAAGATCGTTTTTGAAGGTTGGAGCGGTCCACATTACACTGATGAAATTTTTCCTGTTTAAGATAGTAGTAAACTGGTTTATTTTAAAACATTTCTTCGGCCTCTGCTCAAGGCCATGGCCTAACCTACAGAAAAGTCATGTAATATGAATCTAGAATGCAGTGTTCTGTTTGCCCTTGTGTTACTGGGTCTGAACATACAGTACCTGCCAGGTCCCAGACAGTGTCTCAGGCTAGTCCTACCAGCTGTGGTCCTTACATCTGTTCCAGGATGCAGATTTCTTGGCTAATATAACAGGCATGGTGTAGCAAGCCAAATGGAGCTCCGTTCATTTTTCTCCTCTTGGTAAATGCCATTGAGCTAAATTGCTATGACACTTAGTTTACAAATAGTGACCATGTTCAGTTTGCTACCTGTGCTTTTTTTTTTGAATAGGATGGAATAGGCCTATAACAAAGATGTTAAGTCAATTTCTACTGTGTATGTACAAATCTAAATGCAAGCTACATCTTGTTACTTGGATGCAAACTGCTGTGAAAATATGTTTGAATATGGAAGTCTTTATGGGGTCATGGAAAGTTAACAAATTAGCAAAAAGAGAGAGAGAGAGACAGAGAGAGAGAGAGACTAGTAAAGTGTGAGTAATCCACAAGTAAAGAGTCTTATGGCCACATTGTAAGTACATGCAGTTATGTGTACTGTAATTTTTCTAACAAGCAGAGGAACATCCAATTGTGTTTGTATATATATATATATATGTTAAAGAGTGTACAGAGATGTATTTTAGTGTTTTAAACCTTCCTAGCTATTTTCACATTAAATATAAGAGATCCTACTTATTTTTCCTTAGGGGTTAAATAAAATTGCTTGGGATGGCGTACTGGTCCAGACAATTGGCTTGGACCAGTATGCCAGTATCCCTGTATATATACAGGGCCTTCTCAGTATATTTCCTACATTATCAAATTGTGGAGAGACCTACCAAATAACTTTTACCAAGCACTATCATCATATCTTCATACAGAGGCCAAAGATTTGCTAAATCATTTGACCTTCAATGGCATGATCTAACTGGAATAGGATTTTCATTACTGTACTGCCCTATTTTTATGCTTTTAATTTTATTTAAATTGTTGTAGGATTTTCCCTAAAAGAATGTTTAAAAATTAAAGAATTACCTTACTCTCCAGAAGTAAGATTAAGTAATCATTTCTTCACGATCCCTTTACCAAACCTTACATAGTACATTAGTTTTTAATGTTATTAATTTTTATTGAAAATAAAATAAGAGAACAGGGTTTTAGATTTCTTATAGCAGCCTCCCTCAAAGACAGTTCTCTTCATATGTTTTGACCACAATTATCACCATCCACTTCCTGGCAGATGGGGTTTTTAATCCAAAGTAGTTGAAATACGTTAGGTTGGAGAAGGAAGACTAAGAATCACTCTGAAAGGAGCCCACATGGATTTTGCAGATTTTGTTTTCTGGATCAGGAGACTGGATTTAAATCCCTGAAATTATATTCCTTAAACTGGGAAGACAGTTAAAATGGCTGAACGGGGAACATGGGTAGGGATACCAGATTTTGCAGAATTATATAGGCTTTTCTAAATTTTATTTGAGTATTTTTACTTCCGTCCTTCCAGTGTATGTTGCTCAAGCATACATCATGGCAAAGAAAATGAATGGCCGTTGAAGCAGTGATTAGACCATGATTATAATACTAGATAGTAAACACAACAGGCCACTTCCTGCTGCAGTATTATGCTTCCAAGGCACTGAGGAATCCCAGACTGGGTTAAAATTAAAAGGCAGTGATGTGAGCTGAGTGTGTGCTTAAAGAATTTATAGAATGCTATGTGGAAGACTAATATTTCCTAGGCAGGAAACTGGTATTAACAGCTTAGCAGTTCAGTATGGGTGGAGAAAAGAAGGATTTATGCTCCTGCCACCTTACCCCTTTTTACGGGCTGAAGAAACTGATAATTTTCAGATGTCTATTGAATTAAAGGGCTAGATGGGAAGACAAGCCTCCAGTCCAAGATCTAGTTCACTGTCCAAAACAATTTGGGGATCGTTGTTTGCTTTATGACATTATATGTCCTATCTTACGCAAATGCTGGGTATGGTTTCCCCAAGAATGTCCTTTACTTCATATACAGCCAGAAAGCAAATAACAACACCTTTTCTAAACAAGTCCAATACATCCAGTTCCATCTATTATATGGCTAAGATTGGCAAGTGCACCTCCACATACAGGACAAGACTGGATAGACAGAGGCACAGAAGAAAATGGTGTCAAAAATTAAAAAAAAGGAGAGGATTACAAACACACGAAATGTGCAGTGTCCACAATAGAAGCGAGCTACTTTCTTTCTTTTTTTTCTTGGATTCAGTCAGCCTAGATCCAGATATTTGAATACAAGTAGGGAAATTGTGCTGGTTTTGTCCATAAAGAAGAACAAAAGCCACGAGAGTCTGAAAGGCATACTTCCTTAGCATCCGCATTCAATCAGAAATGACTCAAGTGCTTTGATGCAGAACGGTCCTGCATCAAATGCAGGATTGCCCTGACTGCAATTCCTTCTAATCATAGTCAGGAGTGGTTTTGATGGAGGACACAGTCCTGAAAATAAGTGACCTTCAGGAGTAGGATCCTTGCTCTTGATTTATTTTATTTCTTTTGCAGAAAGTTTTGGTGTTCCTGAAACTCCTCTGCTGTACTACAACCAACTTCATATTGAAATGAGACTTTGTTCATTCACAATCCATCAAGACTTTTGTTAACCACAAACAAAGTAAATTGGTGCAATCCTTAAAAAGAAGGGCAAATTGCCAGAATGATGAAAACACCCTGGCTAATACTCTAGCAGGGATCCTAATATGACTCAAAAGTTCCTCTCTAGAGCACATTTGCCATTGGAGCAGCATAAAGTCTTCTGGCAACTGGTCCAGTCCTCAGACCTATAGATTTTCTCCTGGCTGATACTGGGGCTCTGTTGATGTGAAGTAATCCTCCAGGAAAGCTTGGAGGTATTCAAAGGTTGGCCTTTCCTCAGGATCCTTTCTCCAGCACTGGCACATCAGATCGTGTAGAGATTCTGGGCACTCTGGTGGACAGGGCATCCGATAGCCTCGTTCCACTTGATCTAGGACTTCCCGATTCACCATGCCTATGACACAAAAAAAGAGAAAGAAAGAGACAAAAGAAGAAGGAGGAGGAGGAGGAGGAGAGGGAGGGAGGGGGGGAGGGAGGAGAGAGAGAGAGAGAGAGAGGGAGGGAGGGAGAGAGGGAGGGAGGGAGGGAGAGAGAGAGAGAGATTCTTAATATAATTGGTATGGGAGTGAAAATACTTGCAAATTGTACCTGGTTTCATAATTTTGTTCTTCTTCATTTTATTGGAATCAAATAGTATACCTGTGTTTCCCCAAAAATAAGACCCTGTCGTATACTTTCTGCCACCAAAAAGGCACCAGGTCTTATTTTCAGGGGGGGAAATGTTGTCCACTGACTCACCTCAATTGCGTGCATCGCCCCCAGTCTCTTTTTTGCTATCAGAGGCCTTCAGGAACTTCTTTATCCAGCAAGGCCAGCAAGGCTTTCCTGAAGGCTTCTTTAGCCGATAACAGAGCTCTAGATCGATCCAGAGCTCTGTTATTGGCTACAGAGGCCTTCAGGAAAGCTATGCCAGCTGCAGAAGAAATGGGCCGAGGTGTGCAAGGCCTGGCTGCAACTGTCTGAAGGTAAGTAGTAGGGCAGCTCCACCACCCCATCCCCACCCTAGCTTAATTTTTACCTCTGCAGCTTGGAGTGGGCAGGATCTTAATTAGGGCTTATTTTGGGGGTAGGGTTTATATTAGATGCATGTGTAAAAATCAAGCTAGGACTTACTTTCTGAGTAGGTCGTATTTTCACAGAAACACAGTACTCTCCAATCAAAACATACAGAGGCATTTCTAATTAGTCAGATTGGCACTTTATATCTATTGTATGCTGTCTGACAAGTGTTTTGGCCTGGTCATAATCCATCCAAAGTTGAGAGGGTGAAGAGCTGGAGAGATGAGGTTTAATTGCCACTGCCTGTATTTACATGGATTGGTCTTCATCACTTATGGTTAGTAGGGGCCAGGGGTGAAATGCTCCTGGTTCGGTCTGGTTCACCCGAACCGGTAGTAAAAAAGGCTACTGGTTCACCGAACTGGTAGTAAAAAATGTAAAAAAAAAAGTTCCGATGATCAGCTGAGCGACGCGAATAGATTGTTAAAAAATGCTTTTAAAAGTAAAAAAAAAAAGGCTCTGACGATCGCGCACCACAGCTGTTGGTGCGTGTTGGGCAGTGTACATGCACACACACAGCGCGCGTTTGGCATGCGCAGCTGGCGAATCGGTAGTGAACCAGTTCAGATTTCACCACTGGTAGGGGCCCCCTTTCAAGGGGAAAGAAATGTAGTCTGAGCCAATAGCTAAGTATAGCCAGCCACACTCTAGCCTCCATTTTCATGAATCATCTGGCTTTCTTCAGATTGTATTCCTTCACTAGATTTTTATCCCATAGGAACTCATGGCAGATAGAAAGAGTTCCCCACAGATGTTTTTGAAGCTCTTGGCACCTATATCAAAACTGAACACACACTTACCGGGATATGGTACTCGGCCTTTGGTGGCAAGTTCTGTCAAGAGTATTCCAAAGGACCAAACATCTGACTTGATAGTGAACCGACCATACAGAGCAGCTTCTGGGGCAGTCCATTTGATGGGAAATTTAGCACCTAAGCACGGAAACAGAAATGTAAATAAAAAGGTTGAAAACTCTCATTCAGGTTTTCTTGCCCAGGGATCACAAAAAGAGGGGACAAATGGAGGTGAATTACATTCTCATATGCTGCCATGTCTACCAATTACTTTTTATCATTCATCCACTGTAAGCAATACCATAATAATTTGAAAGATACCTAATTATATATCTTGTTGGCAAATTTAATTTTTAATTTACTTTAATATTTAAATTTATATACTGCCCTTCTCCCGAAGGACTCAGGGCGGTGAACAGCCAGAAGTAAAAAACATCAAATACAAAATATAAAAACAATTTAAAAATGAATTAAACAATTTGGCCCGACAGTTAAAATCCCCCATTAAAATCCAAATTAAAATACACAATTGGAGAGATTAGGCCAGCCTGACTTGATGAAATAAAAAGGTTTTGAGGGCCCGACGGAAAGTACATAAGTCCGGAATCTTCTGTATCTCTGGGGGGAGCTCATTCCAGAGGGCAGGTGCTCCCACAGAGAAAGATCTCCCCCTGGGGGCCACCAGTCAGCATTGTTTGGCCGACGGTGCCCAGAGGAGCCCCTCTCTGTGGGAGCGTACTGGCCGGTGGGAGGCTCTCGGTGGCAGAAGGCGGTCCCGTAAATATCCTGGCCCTAAGCCATGGAGCGCTCTAAAGGTGGTCACCAACACCTTGAATCGCACCCTGAGGACCACCGGGAGCCAGTGCAGCTCTCGCAGGAGAGGTGTTACATGGGAGCGCCATGACACTCCCATAATCAACCTCGTGGCCACATTCTGGACCAGTTGGAGCCTCCGGGTGCTCTTCAAGGGGAGCCCCATGTAGAGAGCATTGCAGTAGTCCAGGCAGGAAGTGACGAGGGCATGAGTGACCGTGCATAAGGAGTCCCGATCCAGAAAGGGACGCAACTGGTGAATCAGGTGAACCTGATAAAAAGCCCCCCTGGCCACGGCCGTCACATGCTCTTCTAAAGACAGCCGTGCATCCAGGAGGACACCCAAGTTGCGAGCCCTCTCTGTGGGGGCCAATGACTCACCCCCAATAGTCAGTGATGGCACCAACTGACTATATCGGGATGCCGGAAGCCACAGCCACTCGGTCTTGGATGGGTTGAGCTTGAGCCTGTTTCTCCACATCCAGATCCGTACAGCCTCCAGACACCGGGACATCACGTCAAGGGCATCATTGGAGTGGTCCGGGGTGGAGATGTACAGCTGAATGTCATCAGCGTACTGATGGTACTTCACCCCAAAACCACGGATGATCTCACCCAGTGGCTTCACATAAATGTTGAACAGAAGGGGCGAGAGGACCGACCCCTGCGGCACCCCACATACAAGGCGCCAAATGAACTTCTTACTAGTATCTGCTGAGTGAGAGGATGCCTACATCCTACTGATACTACCTTCTTCCCCTTTAAAGCAGCAATTCTTTAGCAGATGGAATTTTTTACCTAAACAGGTTAAAGAGTGATCATACCTTGTCTTGCTGTGTATTCATTGTCCTCAATCAGTCGTGCCAGTCCAAAGTCAGCTACTTTGCATACCAGGTTCTCCCCTACAAGGATGTTGGCAGCTCGGAGATCTCTGTGAACGTAGTTCATCCTTTCCACGTAGGCCATGCCAGAGGCAATCTAACATCATTCCAAAGGCAAATTAAAGTCTGAGGTAGTTTGACAATAATTTTGTTCTGCAGATTTTACTCCTTGAAGCGTTAGTCAAACCGACAAGCCTTATTTACTTTGTATCAAGGGAAATTCTGAGTTACAGTCATTTGTGTAGTAAAGTCTTGTATGATGGTGATCATAAAATATCAACATAGGATACAAACTAAATAATAATTAGTGATGAGGCTGACCACCATTTTTTAAAGAAAATTACTGAGGCCTCTGCTGCAAACTAAATAGTTTACTGGGAAGCACTCAGAATTTCACGAGTGTTTGCAGAAGATACTTATCTACAGTAAGTCAGTTAAAATTATGTAACTACACTTGCACAACAAATAAAGCTTCCTTAATGTTAATGCTTCTTTGTGATTTTGGCCTGATGCACAAGCCCAAGCTATTTGCTTAATTTGTAATTCAATATATTTTGCAAAACTTTTAAAAAGTGGATTAATTCAATAAGCAGGTTATGTTATTTAAATGCAGCCAACATATATTTTTCCCTGGCCTGACTCACTTCAAATTACAAGAAGAAGAATCTTCTGAACTGAATGTATTTATTAAAATGGCTGTATTTCATTTTATATAAATAAATCTTAGATAAGATGCAATCAATTCAAACTAGACAAAACAACAACAACATAGCTCCAGTAAATCCAGTGTATTAAAACTCCTATCACTGAGTTCCAAAAGTTTGGGGAAACAATAATTTTTCCTTGATACACAAGCTGATGCCATTCTAACTGGGTGTAGTGGTTGCGGTATTTGAACAGAAAAGCCTCAGTCTCTCTCTCTTTCTCTCCACATAATCCATTGCAATGAAATGGACAGCAAACAAATAAATAAAACTAATGTATTGCTTCTCATGGTGGGAGACAAATAAAAACTCTTGCTAATGGTGGATCTTAATGTTCAGGCAGCTGTCCACAAGGGGTGTCCCAAATATGGTGATTCCAAACAGAGTGCTGTATATTTTTATTCACATATTTGTGGATGAGCTCCTCATGTTCATATTCAAATAGAAAGAAATGGGAAACAATAGATTGCTTTGTATATCCGTTCAGAATCTACCTCCCAAATGCTGAGTCGTGATATAGATGTGAAAAAGATGCACTAAGTCAGGGCTGTTAAACTCCAGGCCTGCAGGCTGGATGCGTCACGCGCTGGCCACCCCCACCCCCGGTTTTGTAAAGGGGGGAAAAGTTCCGATATATCACATGACGCCGCTGTGATGACCTGAGTTTGACAGCCCTGCACTAAGTTATTTGCAACCTATGCAAAGTTTTTTACACTCACCTGTGCAGCCATGTCCACCAGCTGGGGCAGTCTCAGATACTTGCCCATCTCTCCCTTCAAAAAATCCAGGAGGCTCCCTACAATAGAACAGACAGTTGTCAGGAATTCACGAAGGGGAAAATCACAAAGTCATTTCTAAAACCCTTCATTATTATCACTTAGCCACACATGTAAATGAAAGTGTAATTTTCTACTCCTTGAGTTTTATTATGACACGTTAAGCAAGAACTGAATTGTGAACTGCCTATGTTCCAAGGAATCACACTTCAGTGCTTGCTAAACAGTGAATGAATTCATTCGGTCCCAAATTACACCACCACATCTTTAGTTGTGTAAATGCATTTTTAGCAGTCAGCCTCGTGTTTCACATACTATGGTATGCAGTAACACAAAAATTATAAATATAGCTAGGAGAAGGTGTATTTTCCTTTCAGTTTCAGATTTCTCTTCTGTCTCTGTTCTGCCTGTTTCAGTTTGAAGGAGAAGAAAGCACATAGAGAAACAGAAAGCACAAATAGTAGCAAATGTAAGCACCTTTGCACATATACTCTGTTACGATGTAAATTGGCTCTTCTGAAACCACAGCATACAACTGCACCAGCTTTTCATGGCGCAGTTTCTTCATAACCTGAGCCTCCTGTAGAAATGCTTCTGGAGACATTGTCCCAGGCTTTAGAGTCTTGATTGCTACCCTGGTGGTACCATTCCAGGTCCCTGGAGAAGAAACAGAATTAGTTTTCTCAACAAGAAGCAAGCCTAGTTTGTCAGGTACCAATCTCTTCAGATATAAAAACATGTAAGCTACCAGATTTGCTGATACTACAGTCACTGTTATATAGAGTTATATACAAAAGAGCCATGGTTGTGCAGTGGTTAGAATGCAGTACTGCAGGCTAACTCACTGCTCACTCCAGGAATTCAATTCTGAGCGGTTCAAGGTTGACTCAACCTTTCATCCTTCCGAGGTTGAGGACAATATGCTGACTCTGTAAACCGCTTAGAGAGGGCTGTAAAGCACTATGAAGCGGTATATAAGTCTACGTGCTATTGCTGTTGTACCTCCAAGTACTGATGGGATGTACTGTACATACAGCAGAATACAATTACTGTCAAAAGCAATAATCCTTGTGAATTTGATGCACAAATGTTTAATTTCCAAAACGTCCATGCTGTCCTCTTATAAATCACAATTTCAGAAAGAACTAGTCAAAATGTAACAGTCAGAAATGAATGTCAAACTAATTTTAAACTTTGTATTTAAGTTGGAACTGCAGGTAATTCTACCTACAGTTCTGTAATATAAATGGAAATGCAGAAACAGTCCTCCAGTTTGGTATCAAACAGGCTCAACTCTCTTTAACTAAAATGATTAAGAGATCCTCTTGGATCTGTTTCCTCAGAAATCTTATACTACGGCTCTTAAGATAACAGAATGCTCAGCTCATCCATGCTGAACCAACTTGTAACTAGACTTTCTGTATCTTATCTGAGAACATTCATAATATTAATACCCTATGCAAATTGAAAGGTATTTAGTAGATGGCCAATATCTGTTTGAGATGTGGAGTTTGGTCCCGCTATCCTTGTCATTATCTTCATTTACATTGATTTCAATGAGTCTGCTCCAAGGATTACATTTTGAAATTTCCCACAATCTTTTATATTTGATAATGATGTGTTTGAATACTCTTGTTTATTTGTTCATTGGTTTATTGATTTGCATGCTACCTCAGTCACTGAAGTAACTCTAAGCACCTTACATGGTTGGATTAAAATAGCCATTGAATAATGAAATAGTAAACAGCAGTAATGCATGCTTAGTACAAGATCCCACGTTCTTTTGGTGCAAGTCCACCAGCTGATATCATACTACTCAAACAGCTGTTATAACTGACCTTACACCTTTTGCTATAGCAAGGCATAAAACAATGCAGCTGATTCCTTAGCAACTCAAGAATCACCTCCGAAATCATAGGACAGCCAAAAGTGAAAAGTTTGCTCTAAGTGCTTTTCCATGCCTGAAAATACATTTTCAGAAATGCACCGTTCATCAGATAAAATGACCATCTCTCTTCTTGCAAATTCTTACCCATCCAGACTTCTCCAAAGCAGCCTTGTCCAAGTTTGACCTCTAGCCGCAAAGATTCCCGGGGGATTTCCCAAGCATCTTTTGCCAAGCCCTGTGTCTGAGGCTTGCTGGTTGGGCAAACATTGGTAAGACGGTGGCACAAACCATCTGCATGTTCTATGAAAGAATAAAATCAGTTGCAGAATGAAAGAACATCTATGAGGACCCAGATTGTTGGGGGGAATATGCTAACATTGTAAATTGCTATTGCTATTTATTTATTTTAGACCAGTCTCATCTCCATTTTAAGTTTCCATTACTTGAGTGGGATTATTATATTTACTCTACTTCATGTTTCAATATAGGGTTCTTGGCAAGCAAATGAGCCCCAGTTCAGAACACTTTGTACCTCTGATTGAATATCTCCTACAGCAGGGATGTCAAACTAAATTTCATTGAAGGCTGCATCAGGGTTGTGTTTGACCTTGGGGGGCTGGGGTGGGCATGGCCAGCTCGACGTCTCGTGTTGGGGGCACCTGTGGTGGCCAAATACTAAGGCATGACTTCCCTCAGACCCTCCCTCACTCTCATTATAATGTCCTTCCTTCCTTCTTTCCTACCTTTCTTTCCTTCTTTCCCTCCTTCCTTCCCTTTTTCCTTGCCTCTTCATTCTCCTTTCTTCTTCCTTCCCCTTTCCTTATTTTTCCTTCCTTGCTCTCTTCCCATCTTCCCTTCTTTTTCTGTCTTTCCTCTTTCCCTTTCTCCTTTTCTATCCCTCCTTGCATGCTCAAATGTGAAAGGAGAAACATTTCTCCTTTTGTTTTGTTTTTAGTTTGTTTTGCTAGCCCTCTGCCAGCGAAAACGGAGGTAGGAGGGCCGCGGGTGGCACTCCCGAGCTCCGTTTTCACTAGTACAGGCACTGCGGGCCAGTCCTTTGCTGTTTCCAGGGTGGCCCCGCAGGCCAGAGCTAAACACCCTGCAGGCCTTGAGTTTGACACCCCTGCCCTACAGGTTGTCCTCATTTAGTAACCACAGTTGGAACCAACAGCTTGGCCATTAAATGAAGTGAAATAGCAAACTTTTATGATCTTTCTTCAATTTTCCTTTGCTTTACTGACTGCAAATTGGTTACTTTTTCCATCACTGTTGTAACTGTTAATAGTCTCTAAATAAGGCAGTCACTAAATGAGGACTATTAATATGTTGGTTTAGATATTGCAAACTTTTGAGTTATGAAATTTCACCCATACAAAAAACCCCATCTGAAACTCTTGGAAGTTGGGCAAAGGTACGCTAAAACTAACTCTTCCTGCCTTCTCCTGATTTCTGCTCACATACTGGTTACTGATCTTCGTGAATACCTTTTTTTGTTTAGTTGTGTAGTGACTGTGTGTGTGGTCTATTGTAGTGATTGTGAATGTTTGGAATTAAGCGCAAGGGTGATTTTTATGCTTGTTTGGATTTATGAATAAAGCAGACTTGTGAATAGCATCTTGGAACATAGTCTGTTTGTCAGTAGATGAATGTCTATACATTGAATATATACTATTCAGTGTGTCACTGTATTAGTCACAAAATGTATACTTTATTTTCTTTTCAAGAGCAATGAACAGAAATCTCATATCGCTTGCAGTGACAGTTCAAAGGAAGAAAAGCCACATACTGTCAAACATTAGAACAGTTAAATTTGGATCCAATCTTTCATTGTTCATTTCATATTTCATATTTGATTACTTGATAGAATGTCTTTCAAATATAGTTCAAATATATTCACTCTTTTTCTTATTCTGGGGTATCCTGGACAGAGTTCCTTGCAGTGAACACAGCCCTCATTAGACGCTGAAATGACACTTACTGGAATAATAAGCCACTAATTGCTGAAGGCTGCTGAACTGTGTACGGGATGTGATATAAAAGCCACCATTGTCCAGTTTGCGAATTTTGTAGTGCTTCACATTGAGGCCCTTGGCATTGTCAAAATCTGAGACAGAGAGACAGTAGGCACCTGTAAAGAAAAAATGAAATCTATTTAAGCCTATCATTTTAAAGATAATTTGCAATCAATATTTATTAAGATTCATTAACCCAAGATGACAAGGCTATATTTTGTGCCTAAGTATGTGTGCATCTATCTTCCTTCCTTCCTTCCTTCCCAAATAAATTATCAATCCTAGGAAAAAACCACTAATCTCCAAATAACTGAAGGCTTCACATCAAAGCATACATGCAATTAGGTCATATGTTTTAGATATATTACATGTCTCTATACAATGCAAGCTGCTGATTCCATTTCACAATGGCATTTTAGAATAGGGAAAATACGGAATGCAGACATAAGCAAATCTGTCAAAGCAGAATGTCTTGATCCCAGTTATATAAAAGCATATACTAATGCTACAGTCACCAGGATATCAGCTTCACAGCAGGATTAAGATCTGGGGAAGGGGAATGCAGAAGGGACAACTCTGAAGAAAGCAACCGAGAGACCCAGGCTGATCTAATTATGGCCTGCAGATGAATCTGTCTTCATTCTGATCCTGTCAAACCTCAGCAGCTAATTTGTATGGGGTTAACACAGAAGGCCTTGATGGCAGGTCTTTGCTACAGCTCTTAAGCGGAAGAAATCTATAGGGAAAACCACTTTCTCCTTTGCTGTTAGTTCAGTGCTCCAATTAAACAGAAAAAGTGCTGCTCTTTTAATATGACTCTGGTATCAGTTTCAGGGTGTTACACAAAATTCAGGATTCCAAAATGTTTTCAAAACATATACAGTTCTGAATTAGATTCTTGTTTTCTCTATGACTTGTATCTTCATCTCAAAATCTGGCCATGGGCAACACTGACCACAATTAATAATACAATCTAAATGATTGACACTTAGAAACTCTTGTAAAGGTCTCAGATATTATTAGGAAAACATATTTATAACATTGCTGTTTAGCATTTATGAAGAATTTTTTAAAAATGGGCCAAATCTTTTTATTCATATCACGCTCATCCTCATGGTCTGTAACCTCTTTTATAAATGGACATTTGATTTTATTATTTTGAATAATTTTCATTGGGAATTTGGCTAACAAAATTGGATTAAAACCAGACTAAGTTAGACATGTTTTATTTTTATCTAGGAGACAAATCACTCATGGATAACTTTGAGTCCTATGACTAGCTTGTCTGGACCAACTCACTGAAAATGAATAATGGCAGGCAAATGAATGGTCTGAAGGTACTATGTTGAATGTTGTATGATCTCTTGTGCCAAGTCAACATCAGCTACAAACAGTACTTGATTTTAAAAACCACTCAGACCAAAAGCTGAGATTCCCAGCAGTCTGAAATTTGTACCACTGTTATTATTTTTCTCCGAATATGCATATGTGAGACCAAGACATACAGGCAAACTTTACAATTCTAGGTGTGTTTCACTATTAGAAAAACACAGTATATGGATAATGCTAAATCAACTCTGTGCTTGTGCAAATTTTGCGGCTAGTACATAGACATTGTTTGTTGCTGTTCTTTTGCTCACAAACACAATCTCTATAACCTGTTCCATAAATGTAACAAACAACAGCTCCTTGGCAGGGTAGAAAGAGAAACCAGTGTTTCCTGTTGCTATTAGTTACCCAGCTATTTCTCCATTCAATGACCTAGTTTCTACAGGGTTTTTTTTTCCAAAAAAGAGAAGTACAACACTGAAAGTCTCTGTTTACATTTAAATCTTATCCAGTTCTCCACCCTTCACACCAGTATACAAGAGGGAAATAGAGAGGATGTAGTCTCCTTGACAGAACTAAATGTATGTATTGTAGATAGAATGGACAAGGAGGGATAATAAGCATGTTATGAACATAAGAAACGACATACCTCTTGTGATTACTGCATGCCATTATACTGTATATCAGGCAAAAAAAAAGACCCTTGGAGAGACAATACATGCTCCAAGACCCCAACTCTGAAATCTTCCTCTACTCTACTAGTGCCTCCATTTAAAAGCTAGTTTAACCATTATTTACATGGCTGCAATAGTTTATTGTTCTTAAACTAAGATAACCCATATTAACTGCTGCAGATAATTGCTTTTCATTGTCTCAGACAAATGGCATAAATAGAAACCTAACAGAGGAACAATTCATGGGGTTCCTTTGCCTCATCCTTCAAGACTGACAATTCTAGCTACTGCAGCCTGAAAATATTACATTTTCTGCTTTTAAAATGACAGGAAGCTCTGGGAGCTGCAAAATGTGTAATGTAAACACAGGCATGAATACAAGTCTTAAAAGACAAAGAATCCAAATTCTTCCTCATCTCTAGAAAACAACAGGAAACTGTGAGACCCCTACTGTGTATAATCCATGCTCAGTTCTTGCATGATTAAATATTTTTAAAATGTTAATTACAGCCCATGACCACTGAGATATTGCCAATATTTAGGGTGAATGAGAGATAATCTCTGAAGAGTGTGTAGTTTAGCTCTTAGAAGTTTGGGAAACATCCTTCGACAGCCAGAGAGAGAATCCCATTGTCTCCGTTGAAGTGGAAGACGGAGTTAATAATACATTCTCCTGTAAGCATCCTTTTCTTTTCCAATTATTATTACCTTTTGTGGTCTCACTCTCTCTTGCCAGAAAAGTCCCTCGGGGATTCTCTGGATTGAGCAGTAATCGTTCAGATTCTCGGCGCGTAATCTTGCCAAAATACCACCTGCAATAGTAGAACACAGATAAATGTAGACAGTTCTCATGTTCATTTAAATCATTGCAAACATTTCTGCAGACAGAAGAATCCAATCTTTTCTCCTATAAATATATAGCCTCCAAAGGTTAAAGGTCATGCCAAAATAATTTTAGTCAACAGGAAAGAATGCTGGTATTTTTTCAGCTACATTCTAGATAGCAAAAGTCTAGATTGGCAATGATTAAAAACCTCATTAGATTTTGGCCCCTTAAAAAACATTGCATCATCTGAAAGCAAGATTAATAACAATGTGAGGTTTTGAGAATTTACACATTGTAAGTTATTTTAATTTAATGTGGAAGAATATTAAATGCTATTTTGGGATGGGTAAAGCAGTTTGGGATGGATTAACATCACTGCATTTCTAGGGCCCATATTGTCGCAGTTTATAAGATTCTAAGATCTCAGAATTAGGAAATAGCATGCAAACATTGAACTGGCCGCGCTCATTAAATATTCTTATTCTTGAAAAGCTGATGCATTAGGGGTCCTTTTTTGATGTATTAGGAATCCTTTTCTTGGATATGTTGATGTTCCAGCTTCACAGTTTTTCAAATATGTTTTAATCTGATCTAATCACTTTGTACAGCGCACTTAAAGTTTACATTACACTCTAAACCAGGGGTGTCAAACTCGCAGCCCATGTGCTGGATGCATCATGTCCTGGCCATGCCCCCGCCCCCCCGGTTTAATGAAGGGGGGGAAAGTTGCAATACATCACATGACGATTTGTCATTGAGAGTTTGACACTCCTGCTCTAAACCTTCCAGTTGGTGTCAGAAGCATTAAACGAGAAAGCAGTAAACACCAAGATGCTGTAAAATACAATAATCTCCACAAGACGTAGTCATTCTGCTACTCTGAAATTAACCATTCATAACTGCATCCAGATGAAAAGCAATAATAATAATACAAAATCAAGACTGACTATCTCATAAGTACAAGATGCTGTGATGATGGCCATTGATTTAGATGACAGTAAAAAGAAACTAAATCAATTTATTATGCCTATCAGCAGGTAGTTTTCTCTCCAGGCAGCATGTCACTAAATGCTGAGGCAACACCATTCCTTTGAAAGAAGGATTTCACAATGCAAAGACGCACATATGAAAATCTCTCTTCAAATCATTAAAGCAACTACATCTTCTTTCAGACTCATATCTGCTTTGGAAGTTACCCCCAGGTGCCAAGTATCTAGGATTCCTCCAGTTCAGCATTCTAGGTTCTCCCTATACAAAACGTTAGTAATAAAATGAAAAACAAAGCACAATTTCCCAGAATCTCTTCAATCTTAGACTTGAAGGGAGAGACCAATAATGTACATATCAGTTCCCTATAACTTGTAAAGGTTCCCTAGATTAATATGCCTGCTAATTTACTATTGAGGACCCAGATTGTTGGGGGCAATATGCTGACTCTGTAAACCACTTAGAGAGGGCTGTAAAGCACTGTGAAGAGATATATAAGTCTAAGTGCTACTGCTATTTATTTTCAAAACTGACCTAACAAAGTCAGTTTGGAACTCTCCTTCTATGGAGTGCCTTCCCATCACAAATAAGATTAGCAATCTCATTCTTGATATTCAGAAAGTTATATGGTTTTTATGTTTTTTAACAAATGAGTACAGAATATACCTGAGATGGAGGATGGCTTAAACTATCTGATAAATTTTTATCTATCAGATGCACCTTAGTAAATGCCAGAAAAATGCTAAGCTTCTTGATTATTGCTATTTTCTTTTATTTCTGAAGTACTGGTAAATCAAAATGTGGGAACTCATCTTCTTGAAACACAATGTGTTTTCTGCAACTAAAAATTCTTCCTACCATCTGTAAACACATCATTTGACACTGAAAGTTATCTAGAAAATATATATATTTGTGAACTAGCCGAAAGTCACATACTCAGGAACTCTGTTTAAGAGAATTACAAAATTATTTGAGGGTTGCCCTCAAAAGGTTATAACTAGAATGACTTTGCCAATAATATCTGGCAAAAGCCTTAGCATAATTCTTTTCAATCTAGTTATAATATTTTAATTACTCTTCTGCTTGGATGGAGTCTGAAGGTGCGACGTAGTTACTGGGGATGTAGCCTTTCTGGCCAGTTGTGAGGGAGTGAGCCAGCCACCAATCTCCTTCCCTGGAAAACACAAAGCAAAATAATACATCAGTGAGAATACATTGATCAAATTACCTTCTCTCTCCATCATTATTACCAGTTTACCCCAAATATTTTGCTTCTGTTCCTCCTACCCATTGGCTTAGGCCAAATCTCTATTTGGGGGCACATTCTGTATTAGCTGTTGGCCAGAAAACTTCATGGAAGCTCAGACCTCCAACAGTATTTCCAATCCTGGTGTCCTCTAGAAGTGAGGAGACTAATTCTAGAATTTTCAACCTGCATGACCTTTGGCTAGGATTCTGGGAATTGCAATCCCAAAGTATCTCAAAAGCAGCACATTGTTAAGAGAAAAAGAAAGAAAAGCTCCCAAACAGTCTTGGTTCTTTTCTTGCAATAGACCAATTATGCTCCTTTGAATTTCTAGAAAATACAAGAAAAGGAGATACGACAAAATTTGGCAGGACTATTTATGGAGATAGCCGAAGCAAAATGATTTTCTACATTCACAGTGATTCAGATCTGCTGGGAGGCAATTCAGGTTTGCAACATGGATGCTTGAGGCCAAACACATCCCTATACATGAAATAGGATTTTTTTTTTTTAAAAAAAATCTTTTTGGAACAAGGCACAGATTGTGGTTTAGCTATCCATTCAATTTCATACATCTTCAAACAATACCACACAGTTCTCCATGCCATAAATGGAATATAATAACCGTTTTCATTTATGCTTTGAGTCATATTCATATTTAAATATGTACTGCATACATGTGAAAATTAATTTTGATGGAATGATGGGTAAGAATATGCAGAACTGACACAGAATAGAAACAGAAAGAAACACCCACTGCCTATTTTGCAACATACCCATTGGCCATCCTGGTTTAGGGAAACGAGAAAATGGCAATGAAATATAAATCAGCCCATTCTAACACTATTTTTAAGACAGGGTCAATGAATGCCTGCTCTAAGTAACAAAGCTCATGGAAGAAATGCATTATTATTATTATTATTATTATTATTATTATTATTATTATTATTATGGTTGGTCACACGGTCAGCCAGATGTTTAGAGTGGATTTGGCATTTGATTAGTTTGGTTAAGTGACAAACCAACACAAGGTCCTTTTAAATAAGGTATTTCCTTACTTAAAAGGGAAGGGTCAACGCCCTGTTGAAAATACCTTTGCAGCCCTTTGAATTTGAACCAGATCTGGTTGCTGAAGGAAGCATTGGAAGTCCGTGAAAGCAGAGGTAGGATCAGGAAGGAAATAGGCATACAAACATAAGAAGAGACATTGTGATAATAAAAAGGGCAGGCACAGCCAAAGCAAAGCTTAAATGTGCAACCTCTTAAAGCAGCTGCCAATGATTTAGGCCACTTGCACAGCTTGGGAATTATTGTAATCCCACTCCTTTGGAGAGTACCCGGTGGAGAGAAAGGCTGCCATGGAATAGCGTTAAGAACCCAATATTAATACTCATTTGTGCTGTTCAAAAAAGATGAGAAAGAAGCTGGGGAGAAACATAGAGACAGTCCTTGACTTACGACCACAGTCGAGCCCCAAATTTATGTTGCTGAGCGAGACAGTGAGTTTTGCCCCATCTTATGACCTTTCTTGCCACAGAATCACTGCAACTGTTAAGCTAGTAACATGGTTGTTAAGGGAATCTGGCTTCCCCATTGAATTTGCTTGCCAGAGGGCCGCAAAAGGTGATCACGTGATCCCCAGGATACTGCAACCAGCATAAATATGGACCGGTTGCCAGGCGTCCTAATTTTGATCACATGACCATGAGGATGCTGCAAGGATGCTGTAAGTGTGAAAACTGTTTTTTCAATGGCGTTGTAACTTTGAACAGTCTCTAAAGGAACTGTTGTAAGTTGAAGTCTACCGTTATGCTAGAGAAAAGGAAACAAGCATGCTTACCCAGAAACCATAAAAACAAACCCCTCTAAATGGATAAACTAAAAAGATCAGCTTTCCTTAGTCTGGGTCCCTTCTGATGTGCTGATTAGAGAATTCAAGGAGTTTAAAGTTTATACATCTGAAGGGTCACAAAGGCTGGGAAGGCAGGTAAGAAACAGAGAAGGCAACCTGCTTCACATAACCAGCTTGTGTTTGCAGCAGAGTTAACACAATGATGCAGTATCTTCCACAATGCTATTTGTTAGGCAGGGTATAAAAGAAGTATGAAATTAATTCATTTTACATATTTCAAGGGTGGCATCATAAAACATTCACTTAAGACCCTTATGAGATGGGGAGCTCGTTGTGAGGTTGTGTACAGGTAGTCCTCGACTTACGACCACAATTGAGCCCAAAATTTCTGTTGCTAAACAAGATAGTTAAGTGAGCTGTGCTCCATTTTACGACATTTTTGGCCACCATTGTTGACTGATTCACTGCCATTAAGTGAATCATGTGGCAGTTAAGTGAAGCTGACTTTCCCCCATTGACTTTGCTTGTTGGAAACCAGCTGCGACAGTTACAAATGGTGACCCCATGATCTCGGAACGCTACAACTGTTGCAAATACGCCCAAATTTTAATCACATGATCATGGGGATGCTACAACAGTTGTAAGTGTGAAAAATAGTCATAATTCATTTTTTTTCAGTGCCATTGTAACTTCAAAGTAAGTCAAGAACCACCTGTATTCCTTTCCTCCTGGAAGGAATTTTCTCCCTGCAAAGATATTTACAAGTAAATGCCTTGTATTGGATTGACTGTTATTATAGGGTTTATATTTTTCAACTTCGATTACTGATTACTGTGTTTCTTTGGGCTTTATTTTGATTACTCCTGGGTTCTTGTTGTATAACCTCAGAAAAATAAAGATTACTTAGCAGACTAAATGCAGAAGTTATCAATATCTTAACAGCTCCTGCCATCCCTTAAGGCGTAACATTGTTTTCACACATGGTGAAATCCAGTAGCAGTAATATCCAGTCCTTACAGAAACAGGTTAACAAATTTAGATTGGGAAAGTGCTTAAAGGCCACTTCTTCTCTCTACTAGTGAAAGTGTCACATTAAATAAAATTTGCAATGCATCTTAGAAAGCATTAGGGTTAAAAAAAGAAAGTATTGGCCTTGAGATCAGCACCGCAAAATCCCAATAGAAGAATTCAGTATCTGATTTGTACTCCAGACCCAGTAAAAACGGAGCAAAATGAGAATAAAACTTTAAATATCCAGACAAGCTTCAACCACAATTTGCTATGCTCCCAAGAGTGAACTAGGTGAAAGGTGAGGAACGCAGCCAGGACTCCCTCCAGGACTTCATTCTGCTCCTGGCTCTGCGTGACCCAGCCAACAAGCATTCACAGAATGTCCAGGTGCCTTGGAATAACCTTTGGAATGGCCTTATCATGCAGAATCGCCCCGAGACAGCCACTAGCATAAGGGCACTGGTGCAAATATTCAGTCTAATCCTCCACAAATCCCTGGGAATCACAACATTGGCTTATAAATTCAAATTTATTGGAGATTTCCAAAGGCTTGGGAGGTTTACTGTCTGCATCCATGTCAATCCACCCAGTTGTGCTCTTAAAATACATTCTAGGAAGAATTACAGAACTTTTGAGAGACTTCTTTTTGCATGTTTTCCCCTGGTGTTTTTCTGGTGCAAACTAAATAGCAGCTGGAAAGTGTGTTACTTAACACTGATAGCAGAATTATATGCAGCATCTGTATAGTTACTGTGATATTTTAAATCAGGCCTGTCAAACTGGTGGCCCACCGGCCAGATGCATCACACACAGGCCATGCCCACCCCAGCTCCACAAAGGCAAAAAAAGCCACATGATGCGATCGAGTTTGACACCTGTGTTTTAAATCAAACTTAGCATTAACCATGGTCTATACCAGTGTCAATATAACAATTAACAGAAATGTATGGGTCCTTTTTCTTCTATACCTGGCATGTTAGTCTTAATTGCATTGGCAGTTAGCTACCACTGCTTTTATTGTTGTTTGCTTATTTCATGTTTTATTAATTCTTCGAGGAAAAGGAGGAGGTAACTGACTGGGCAAAGCCTATTAATAAGATAGCAAAAAATTGCTATTATGCATTACATACTAACATGCTGTGATTGAAGCAGAAGGATTTTAAAAAGGCAAATTTGAGGGGAATGTCAGTTACCTCGCAGATGTTCTGCTATTTGAGGTGTCAGAATTTAGAAGGATCTCCATGCAAAGAATCTAGTCAAAAAGTCAAAGAAGTCAAAAAAGTCAAAACGAGTCAAAAAGAGGGCTGTGAAAATATTTACAGTCCCCTCACATCCTGGACATAAACTGTTTCAACTCCTACCCTCAAAACGACGCTACAGAATACTGCACACCAGAACAACTAGACACAAGAACATTTTTTTCCCGAATGCCATCACCCTGCTAAACAAATAATTCCCTCAACACTGTTAAACTATTTACTAAGTCTGCACTACTGTTAATCTTCTCATCGTTCCCACCACCCATCTCCTTCCACTTATGACTGCATGACTGTAACTTTGTTGCTTGTATCCTTACGATTTATATTGATATTGTTTCCTGATTGCTTATTTGTATCCTATGACTATCATTAAGTGTTGTATATTATGATTCTTGACAAATGTATCTTTTCTTTTATGTACACTGAGAGCATATGCACCAAGACAAATTCCTTGTGTGTCCAATCACACTTGGCCAATAAAAAATTCTATTCTATTCTATTCTATTCTATTCTATTCTATTCTATTCTATTCTATTCTATTCTATTCTATTCTATCTACTCTACTCTATTTCCTATTTCTATTTCTATTTCTATTTCTATTTCTATTTCTATTTCTATTCCTATTCCTATTCCTATTCCTATTCTATTCCATTCCACTCTTAAAATAGGGTTCTGGATGCCAATTAGGATGGGTCCTTGCTGGAGGTAGGAAGCACAATGTTAAAGCATTCATAAGAATTACTCCATTCTGCTTAATCCTGTCCTCTATGTGTTGATCCTTTATTTAAGGAGTCTTTTATCTGAAATGTCAGGAACAGGAAAATTACAGGTAGTCTTCGACTTACAGCAGTTCACTTAGTGACCGTTCAAAGTTACAAGAGTACTGAGAAAAGTGAGTTATGGCCGTTTTTCACATTTACAACCATTGCAGCTTCCCCATAATCATGTGATCAAAATTCAGATGCTTGGCAACTGGTTCATATTTATGACTTTTGTAGTGTCCTGAGATCCCTTTTATGACCATCTCACAAGCAAAGTCAATGGGGAAGCCAGATTCACTTAACAACCGTGTTACTAATTTAAGAACTACAGTGATTCACTTAACAACTGTGGCAAGAAACGTTGTAAAATGGGGCAAAGTTTACTTAACAAATGTCTCACTTAGCAACAGAAATTTGAGGCTCATTGGTGGTAGTAAGTTGAGGACTACCTGTATTATGCACAATGGAGCTCTGTTCCTCTCCTTTACTCTTCTCCCACACCCTTTTGATATATTTTGGAATGCTGATTAGCTGAACACACATGGGAGAACACAACAGTCATTCAAATACGATAACACTGAAAAATATCCCAAGAGGAGAAAGGAGAAGGATAGGGTTTATTTAAGGAGTAATTATGGATGAAACAATAGATTTCTCTTAGCTATTTTAACTATTGTGAGGTGATGGCCACAATGGGAATAAAGCAGGGGTGCAAGTCAGCAGGTTCTGACAGGTTCTGGAGAACCGGTAGCAGAAATTTTCAGAGAACCGGTTCAGAGAACCGGTAGTGGAAATTTTGAGTAGTTCGGAGAATCAGCAAATACACCTCTGGTTGGCCCCAGAGTGGGATGGGAATGGAGATTTTGCAGTATCCTTCCCCTGCCATGCCCAATCAGTAGTAAAAAAAATTGAATTCCACCACTGGAATAAAGGCTTTTCATCATAATCAGTAGAGTAATATTGCTTTAAAAACTTTAATTTTCATACTGGGAGCAATACATGAACTTGTGCTTTTCCCCTACAAACAAAATAAAACAAAAAACAGGATTGCCCCAATTATCAGAGGTCTAGTCCAACCTGATGCTGAAATGACAAAGTATGGCCTGTGATGGCAAATGCAAGTGCTGTCCGTTTGTACTTGTATTGTGATGATTGATGGAAAGATTTAAGGGGTAGAGTTTGTGTCACAATGTCACAACAGATTTGGTCACTTGATCTCTCACTCAGATATCTATGCTTATTGTAG